TGTGTGTGTGTGTGTGTGTGTGTGTGTGTGTTCAGGTGCAGTGGGGTGAAAACTGCAGGGCTGGTAGCCCCTGTCCTCACCCTCACAACTCCACTGCAACCAGTAAGCCTCAGGCTTCTCCGAGATCTTACAGGTCGGGGCTTTCCACAGCCAGGACTGTGCGGTGGCTGGAGGATATCAGGTGCCTCCTGCTCCTACCCACCTTTCACCAGGGATGTTCTCAGTCCTGGCACTTCCTAGGGCTGCCGCGCGTGCAGTTTTAGGTGGTGCGAGGATGATGTGGGGCCTCCTTCTTCCCATATAGCCCCAGCCCTTATGCCTCCAAGTTCTCCTGGCTCGGGAGCTTAGCAGGGAGATGTTCTTCCCCTGCTCGTGGGTGAGAAACTAAACTGCCGCCTCCAGCTCTGAGAGCAGGCAATTTCATAGCTGCCCTGTCCTGCCACGTACATCCCCCCTCGTGCGGGCATGAGGCCTGCCAGGTTTCAGGCAGTGGTGCAGTGGTTTCTGTGAACCTGCACCTCAAACTGTTGAAAGCAAAACTTGTGTTACTTGTGTGTGTGAAGGGGTCTGGTTGTAGCCGTGTCAGTGTACGGACGTAGCCCAGAGAAGGTTCTTAGGGTCAATGTGATATCTATTATTAGACCACCTGAGGAGCTGGAGAAATTGTTCCTTGCAAGCTTTTGGGTTTAAAAACCCTTCATCAGACTGAGGAAGCATCTAGCTGGGGCGTGTGTGTGCGCGTGTGTGTATGTGTGCGTGCCCGCGCGTGCTCTTCCTGGAAAGAAGGAATAGTAAAGAAGCCAGAGGCTGGCACGCAATGCCGGCAAGAAAGGCAGTCAGGGAGAATGGAAATGGGGGTGTCGGGGTTGAGAGACAGGCTGGGGTCGGGGAAGGGGTATGTAGCAGGTAAAAGTGGGGAGGTACCTGGGGAGTCGGATGTCAGGCAGGTTGTAGCGTGTCATAAATCCAGCGTCTATACTGAGTCCATGCATTTCTATATCTAGGAGGTTGGTGAAGTGAAGTTCATAGGTCTGTCTGTGAAAAGTGGGTTGTAAATTCCCGTTGAGGATCAGGACTGAGAGACTGGGAGTCGGCACCCGTCTCACGAGTTTTGCCTGCCTGCGGCCAGAGGTGCAGGGCCCCAGAGCCCAGACTCCCCCTGCACCGATCTCCTTGAAACTTGGCAGGCTTTGTGGCCTAAGCAAGAGCTACCATCCCTGCAGTTTTCACCCCACTGTGGCTTAACACACACATACGTGACATGAGTTTTGCTTTCAGGAATTGGAGATGCAGTTTCCCATAAACCCCTGCACCTATCAACTTGAAACTTAGTATGCATCATGCTCTCAGAAGAGGCTACCATCTCAGTAGGTTTCGTCTAAATCAGCCAGAAGACAATGAAGTTATAGCTACTTCATTGGTTCCCCATTATACTCTATGGCCGAATCTCCAAATCGTGTCTGGATCTTCCTTAGCGATGCGGCTGAATCGAATTGGAAAAACAATTCAGATATCTGAATTGAAACTCTGGCATCCAAATTGGCTGAATCGGAATTGAATAGTTCCCTATTCGCACAGGCCTAATAGGAAATCTCTAAACAGCCTCAAAAGAATGAGAAGCCTGTTATTGGGAATGACAACTCTGCTCGCCATCTGTTTTAGTCAAAATTGATGATAAAGAAGTCACTACTTTTAAATTAATAAATACTGTGTTAGAAGAGTAATTGGAAGTTGCAAGAAATATAGATTTGGAACGTTGGATGTAAATAATAGAGCATATCATTTTGATTTTGGCTTTAAAAGATTTCTATAGAAGTGCACATTTACTTTATAGTTGTTTTCCTGTTGTCCACAGATTTGCCCTAGTCCCATCATTAATATGGATGTGATAAAAAATAACAACAACAAGAACTGCAAGATTATGTAAAAAATGGCAGCAATTATGGTGTTACCATAATGAGAACAATGAATATAGCAAAACCTAAGTTTGAATTGGAATGCATGCACATATCTTCTCAGAAGGTCTCTGTGGTATCTTTGATCTACCTTCTGATTGTTATAATGTTCTGCTTTCTGCTAGCAGAAGTGATTGCCATGTGAAAGCATTCAGGCATAGTTATCCAAGGTTCAAGTGTGGTAAAATAAACTTGTAGTTAAAGAAGCTGATCATGGATCAGGCTAGCTGAAAATGCTCTAAAAAAAAAGTCTTTCAAAGAGAAAGCTAGGTTTTGGATTAAACTAAAATTCTCGTGGAAAGTGTTTCCATTGGCAAGAGAAGAAAATACCCGCAAGCCATTTTTCCAAATTTTTTGGCCTTACATTTTTCAGATGTTAGAAAGTATTGGCAAAAGTTGAAATCCTTAGTCTAGGAAAAAGAGTACCATTTTTTGGCGATCACTATTAAAAAAATCTGTATGCACTTACTCCCTATGTGATTTTTGGATACAACAGTTAAGTCTCTTGGGATCAGACAGAAGGCAAGAGGCAGTCCCTGTGTGAAAGACTGAACGGACACCAAGTTGACATCACTCCTAGAAAGACACAAAAGCCTATGGCAGAAAACATTTCTGGAAATCCAGTCAGTGACATTAGAGTAGCTGCTCTTCAACAACAAAACTTTAAAAAGCAACCAGACTATCAAATTGTGGAACAATGAATCAAACTGAATAGTGATAAGTATAGTCTCAACAGAGGTTATGGAGTCTTATCCCATTAATTGGCATGGCTTTTATAACCCCTATTATCTCTGAACAGGTTAACTCCTTTGTTTATCCTTTGATCCTTTCAACTCACCATCGTCTCTCAGCAGAGCCCCTGATTTCCGCCCCTCTTTCCCCATCTGGGGTATGATAATAAACTACATCCAAGTGGAGGGCCTGATGGCAACACGATGGGATCACGTGTGGTGTGGTAGCTCCTATAAACACAAGGAGTCAAATATGCCAGCATTCAAATAGATACTTAGTGGGATCAGACGTTTGCATGCACATAATGACATTGAGATTGAGGCTGCTCTGAGTATCTTCCCTTATTGTAAATCAGCTAACAGAACTTGGCGCATCTTTAAGCACTGCAGGAGGCTTCTTTGCTGGGAGTTTTGCCAGGGAAAATGGGACTGGATCTGGGGCCCGTGGAGATCTAGAAATTAAACACATGCTGACATGCTTTGCTGGATCAGTGCCTTGATCTCCTGGTCTTCTCAGTATGATCTGCAGTGATTGCCTTTGCCTTTCTCATACCTTAATAGTTACCACCACATTCGGTCATTATGGGCTTTTCATCCTTTTCTTGTTGCTGTTAAAGGCCAAAGGTCTGTGAGACGTTTGCATGGTGAAAGACATCCCCTGGACTGAAGGTACATAAGGGAAGTTCTGCATAGACTCTGCATTAGTGGAGATAATCACGTGCTTAACTTACTGATTCTGGGTAAGTTTTTGCAGCATTGGGGTCTATGGAAATGAGAGAGAGGGGGAAGAGACTATCTCAGGGAGAGGCAGTTATTTTATAAGGAGTTTTGTTGAGCTGGTGTGAGCTGGGTCAGCACCCCACCCCCTTCACCCTGTCCCCACGGCACAGCAGCTCAACACAACTCCCTGTGCATCCCCATCCTGTCCACTTGTCCATGCACTCTGCTCATGTCGGGTCCCGGCCGATCTCCGTGGAGACCCTAGGATTGTGGAGCGGCGAAAGCGTGGGGCTGGAGCCTGGGGCAAAGCCACAATCCGCTCTCCGCACACCCCTGCCTGGATACCCGGTGTGCATCACAGGGGTGTGTACCACAGGAGTGTGCAGGCAGCAGATCATGGCTCTGCTCTGTGCTCAGCTGGAATAGGGCCATGGGACAGTGGAGAGTGGCGTCCAGGAGTGAGATGGGAAGGCAGGGCGGGACTGCAGGGCCCTAGCCCTGCCCTGTTGCTGGCCCGTGATCCCAGCCCTGGCCCTGCCTACCCACAGCCTCATTGCAGGCGAGTGTGGAGCAGAGCCATGATCTGCTGCCTTAATGTCCCTGCAGAGGATGCTGGTTCTTCAGGCCGGGGTGTGCAGGGAGCAAATTGCAGCTCTGCCCTCTCCCTGTGCTGTCAGTGCCCCACAATCCCGCCCCATGATCTTGTTTTCTAAAGACTTGTTTTCTAGAAATCAGGGTTAATGGGCATGTTTGTTATTATTACACCACTTTAGTTCTTGAGTAATCAGGTTTCCTATCAGCTGTTCCCTTACTTTGCCTAGCATAAAATCCAATTTGACAGGTTCATCCCATTTGACTGTTTTAAACTTTGCCACAACATTGATTTCCGTACCTTCCTTTGCAAGTAGGTCAGGTGTAACAGGAGTTATTGGGGAAAAGAACATCATTAAGAGTCTGGAGAGTTTCTTGACCAGCTTTTAAAAAATGCTTACATGCAGGTTACCTGCACCTATTAATTTGGCATGTGCATTAGCTGAAAAATGTGTCCTGGAAGAAGTTACCTGGAAGTCATAATGAGAAAATCAAAACTACAGCATTTCACCACAACTTCCTCTTTTGGTCTCAAGTCAGGCAGCCCTCAAACAGCCTTGTAACCACTGATTCAAGTGTCTTCATATCAAATACACTCTCTGCCCATTATTTATGTGCAGTCCTCAGCAGAGTGGAGCCCTGATCTTTTTGAGGGGACTCTAAGCAATAGTATAATGCAAATGATATGCTGTTTCAGTAACAGTAGATGTCTGGAAAAGATTTTAGAACCCCATATAGTTATAAATAATATCTTTAATGTGCCTTGCGATTCATTTCCCTATCCATAAATGATTCGAATACTTCCTTATCTCACCAGGGTAGCGATGGTGCGTGATGCATTAGATGGTGTTTAGACAGTCCGGTGATGATGTTCATGTAAGCAGACTGACAGATAGATTGCTTGACCATCGCTGTCTTATTATTTCCTTGGGCTCCTCAATCTGTCCTCCATTATCCACCTGTTATCTCTTGTCACACACATGGATGATAAGCTCTTTAGGTCAAACATTTTGGTTTGGCCTTTATTCCGTATCTTGCTCATTTGGGTCTTGGTAAGTGATTGGGGTTCATAAATGCTACTAAAATACCACCACCATCACGCAACAACATTATGATGAAGATGTAATACCTCTTATTTCTTCAGGATGTTCAGAGCTTTTCAGAATAGCAAAGGAAATCATTTCTCTAAGATAACAAAAGAACATGAGCTCATAGGCCCTAATGCAGCCCATTGGAAATACAGAAGGACTTTGACGATTTGCTGTTAAGTGCTCTCCCCAGTTCACTTTTTTGGGCATACATCGGGCAGATTCTCAAAAGGGTCAAAGATGAAAGATGCATCAGCTTATTGATCTATGGGGCCAGTCTTCTGCAGAGGGTGGGGTTTTTACCCTATATCAGTGCAGTTACTCCCGTGAATCTGTATTGAACATCCGTTTATAAATATACGGAAAGGCTGATTTTGAAAACAAAAGGCCATCTGGGTGCTTGTAAGTGTAATACAAGATAGCAGATTCCCCCAAAGAACCTTGTCTGCCCATGTCCTTAAACCACCATGGCTACACCCCCTGTAAGTGTTTGGCAGACATGCTGCCCAATGAATAAGCCGTCACTGCAAGACAAGGCTTACTATCCTCTGCGCTTATTGAGACAGTTGATCAGGTTTAGTTATGCAGCGTGGTCTCAACATTTTCTTCTAGCAGAGGTTTGTGACAGTGCAGTGCCTTTAATTCCACTTGGCCAAAAGGGAACCTGTAGGGTAGCCTCTTTTTATAAAGCGCAGGTGTTATTGATCTTTACTAATCACATGTTGCTACATGGCCTTTTTGTTGGCTATGGCACATAGATACAACCTGCTGACACAAGCTTTTCACTGAGCCATGGGGTTAACAAATGGGGAGAGGGTTGCTAGTGTCACACCAGCTGACAAGATCTGTGTGTTGTTCTGTTGCCAAGGTTTTTTTGCTTTGGGTTTTTGTTATAGGGAGGTGGAACAGTTGCAGAGAGATTCATAAGCTAATGCCTATTACTTATATTCTGCTGCATTGAAACTTGAGCTGCCAAATTCAAGGGAGGAAAAGCATTGCAACTGAAAATAAAAACAGGGGTTAGGTACAGACATTCAAAAAGCCTGAGGCAGACTCAATCTAAGATGCATGGTTTTTGAAATAGCATAGATTAGATTAGAAACAAATAAAGCACACTTTTGCCTGGGGCAGGGGGGTGATGAGGCTGCCAGAAGGGCAAAT